AAGCAGGGCTAATGTTGTGCAGTCAGCCTGCCCTCGGAGTGCAGTCTAGCTGGGGTCACAGAGACCTTTGCAGTGACATTGCTAGGGTGGAGGTCAGCACAGGGAGCTCTAGGAGCTCCCAGTGGTGCTGCTGTCTTGGAGGGTTGGAAAAGGCTTCTGGGAGGAGGTGAGAACTAAACTAGGCCTAAATGTCACAGCAGAGCTAGTGAGTTAGGAGGTGACAGGATCCAGAGGAAATGGGGTGCAGAAAGGCCACAGGAGTGAAAAGGGTGGCATGTATGGTGACAGTTTTGTGTGGATGGAGCATAAAATACAGGGCAGGGTGCGGCTGGGCAGGGCTGGGCCAAGGAAGAGTGTAGTAAAGCTTCATTCTGAAGGAGACTTGGGAATGTTGGAAGTAAACATGATCAGATGTGCTGTTAGAGTGTAAATTCTTCCAGGTGATGGAAGAAGGGAACCGACATGAGGGGCCTGGAGGCAGAGGCTATTTGGAAGGTTAGCGGAGTAATCCAGGAGAGCCTGGTGGGAAGGGTGAAGTCGAGACATTCCAGATACATGAGAAGAGAGATGGCAGAGTTGGGGTGACTGAGGAGTGGTTGAGAATGGTTCCCAGCTATCTGGTTTAGCAATGCATTGGGATGGAGGTGGAGGAACAGAGGGTGAGGAGCTTAGCTCTGGAATGCTGAGTTGCAGATGATGGGCTACTGGGAAGGGGGCGGGCAGGAATGTCTAGGGGACCTTAACGTATGTGGTTCTGGAATTCAGGGGAGGTGTGAGCTGGAGGTTCAGATTGGGAATGCCAGCCTACCGCCCAACTGTGCCTTCCTCTTCACAGAATCACTGAAGATTCAGCTGTGACCACGTTTGAGGCCCTGAAGGCTCGGGTCAGGGAGCTTGAACGGCAGCTATCGCGTGGGGACCGTTACAAATGCCTCATCTGCATGGTGAGTAGGAAGGAACCCAGGGGTGCACTTAGGCTTCTGTGTCCTCTGGGGTTTGGAGAGGTCTCTGCACTGTGAGGGGTGGGCCTGCCTCAGAGTGACCCCTCTCTGCCCACCTCCTCCCTAGGACTCGTACTCGATGCCCCTAACGTCCATCCAGTGTTGGCACGTGCACTGCGAGGAGTGCTGGCTGCGGACCCTGGTGAGGTGGCATGGGGGTCGGGAGCGGGTGGCTGTCCATGCTTATGTTTGAGCCTGCTCGGGGGACGCGGGGAGCAAGGGAGAACAGAGTAGAGAACAGAGCCAGGATATTTACCCCAAGCTCACCACATTCTCTTCTCCCCCACTGCAGGTTTATTAAATCCTCCCCCTCCCCTGCCCCTGCCCCTGCCCCCACAAGGCCCACTGCGCCACACGTACTGGTGAGACCCCAGGTCAGGAGGAGGCTGGCTGTGGGGAAGCAGGACCAGGGCCCCGCCCCTCCCCCTCCCATTACTAAGCTCCTTCTGCTCCTGCCCCTGTTCCTCGCTCAGGAGCAGCCATTAAAATGTCGCCCGGAGACAGCAATAAAAGGCTCGGACGTGGGCTCTGTGTCCTGATCAAAGGCCGCATGTAATCTCGTTAGGGCCACGGCAGCCGCAGCTGGACCCAGCCTTGTTCTCATTACCGGGGCTCCCGCTGCGGGGCTGGCCAGGCGATTTGATCCTGGCGTCCCCCCAACACAAGAGCGTGCCTGCCTGCTCACAGAGGCCGACCATGCATCCCCAGTCTGGGCTGACAGGACCAAGGTCCCAGCACACGCAGGCACAGAGGGATGTGGCTGCAGGCCCAGGTGTTCACATGCGCAAACATGCGGCACATTGTGCGTAACCAAAGCCCTCCCTGTTCTCCCTGCAGGGTGCCAAGAAGCTCTGCCCTCAGTGCAACACGATCACAGCACCTGGAGACCTGCGGAGGATCTACTTGTGAGCTAGCTACCCCAGGCAGGCCTTGCCTCCAGCAGCCCCACCTGCCCCCAGCCTCTGTGACAGTGACCCTCTCCCCTTGTACATACTTCCACACAGGTTCCCCAGTGTACATACATGCACATACATGTGTGTGTGCGCACACACACATACACACACGGGACTCTGGAGCCAGAGTAGAGGCTGAGGCCCAGGCACTACCTGCTGGCTCCCACCAAGTTTGGGGGCCATACCTGTTCCAGGGTGGGACAGGGAGGTGAGGGTGGGGGGAGTAGCGGGGCTAGGCTCCTGAGATCCAGCCCCCAGACTGATGGACAGACAGACATGCAAACACCAGACTGAAGCACATGTAATATAGACCGTGTATGTTTACAATGTTGTGTATAAATGGGACAACTCCCCACCCTCCTCCCCATGGCCTCCCACTTGGGTTGTATGATTTTCTTCTTTTTTTAAAAACCCCTGGAAGCAGTGCCCCCTTCAGGGCTGGCTGGGGGCTCGGCCCATCCACCTCTTGGGGTGCCTGCCTCTTCCTCTCCCGTGGTGTCCCTTCCCTCTCCCATGTGCTCGGTGTTCAGTGGTGTATATTTCTTCTCCCAGACATGGGGCACATGCCCCGAGGAACATGATCCTCTCCTTAGTCTTAGCTCATGGGGCTCTTTATAAGGAGTTCGCGGTGCGGGCAGGAAGTGGGACCGAGCCAAAGCAGAGGCTGAGGTTGGGGCGGGGTGAGGGTGCTCCTGGCTGCCCAGCTTCCGCTGAGAACCTTTCCTGGGATTAGAGCTGCTGTTCCCAGGGAAAAAGGTGTTGTCTCCCTCGCCCCTCAACGTGGGCCCCCTGGTGTGATACTGTGTCTGTATATTCTATACAAAGGTACTTGTCCTTTCCCTTTGTAAACTACATTTGACATGGATTAAACCAATATAAACAGCTGCTGCCTGTGTGTAAATACGTGAGGGAGGAGCTGATAGCAGTGGGGGGAGGTGGACTGAGGCAGTTAAGGGGTTAATTTCTGGCAGCAATATGGGGAGAAGGGCTTAGCTATAGGTGTGTGAAGCCGGGCAGGGTTGGTCTGCTCAGGGGCCCTGGAGCATTGGGGTGGGGTGGGGCTGGGGACCTGGGCTCCTGACTATTGATGGTTAGGGGCTCTAGGTTAATTCCTTATCGATGCAGAATCGTCAGCTCATTAATCACAGAAGAGGTCAGAGCTTGGGGGTACAGAGGGGATGCAAGCTGTATCCCCCAACCTAGGGCAGAAGCAGCTAAGCTTGGGTGAAAACACAAGCCCCAGGCTTCTATCCCTTTCTAGTCCCTGAAACATACCTGGGATCACTCCTGGGCTTTTGTTCTATTCTCCATCCTAGTGACCAACAGCCCAGTGTAGCTACTGCCTAGATCCTCAGATGGAAAAAATAGAAACCCTTATTCTCCAAGGTAGACCCTCAAATTGGGGAACTGAAGCTGGGCTACTGGCACTGGAGAAAAAGCACTTTGTCTAGTGGTCATGCCACAGCTTCCCACTGCCAGTGAGGCCAGGCAGGTGCGCACAGCTGCAGGTGAGTCTCACCCACAACAGAAAGCTGTCTTGGGAAAAACAGGTTCAAGGCCTCAGAACATCTCCATGACTCCAGATTTCCCTTTATGCCTCTCACACACCAGGCGCATCTCCCCACATCCCCAGCTTTAGGCACCCCTTTCTCCGGGATGCCCTTGGTGACGACAGAACTGGGTCCAGGTAGCAGCTCCTGCCCCCCTTGCACCCAGCTGACGCACAGGAGACAAGTCATCCTAGGTTGGAGCCCATCAGAGGGCCTCATAGACCCACACCCAGCTTGATGGCACCAAGTATCTGGAACACAGGATCCTGGCCTCTGTTGAGGTGAAGTGGAGCAGCCCCAGGGAAGGCTAAGGGTTTGGGGAAGTGAGTTTGGAAGAGCAGGTAGGAGGTGAGGAAATGGAAATGAAGAGGAGGTTCTTAAATGCCCAGTTCCCGTTGGGCCAACTTCTTTTACGCCTCTACTCCCCCCGCCCTGGACTCAGTAGGTCCCTGATGGCTGGTTACCCCCACCCTGGGGGCCATATGCTGTCTAATAGGGGACATTAACCCAGAGCAAGGGCTCCACCGAAGCCCACCCTGCTCTGGGAGTCTTGGGCTCTCATGGCACAGGGGGCACTGCCACCTGTTGGCCGTGGCTAGGAATGCAGCCACCCGGCATAGGAATCACTGCTACAGTAGCGGGGACTCTCAGAGAGCTGAGTGGGATGCAGAGTCCATCGTCCCTGAGAATATTGGGGTCAGCTTCCACCCAGAGCTTTTCTAGCCTTCTCCTTGACTGCCTATAAAACTTTTCAAAGCCCGTCCCTGCCCCCCAAGTCCCTTGATCACCACAGCATGCTCATTCAATCAACAAATATTTATTGATTACCTACTATGTGCCAACATTGTGCAGCAGTGACTTACAGAATGACAGATGGTACAGAACTGTAAGGCTGAAACCATCTCTCCCGCCTAGAAAGTATCCAAGTGGCTCTCCGCTTAAGGAGACAAAGGAGTTTGTTATTTTGGCCAAAAATCCCCTTACCCTGTTCTGGTCTTTAGGGCTCCAGTTAGCCTGTCCCAACTCCCATTAGAGCGCTGCTGCCTTCCTGCTCCCGACTCCATCTTTCAGCTGTCAGCTGGCAACTTTCCTGGATCCAGTGGCTTCCTAGCAAAGTGTGGAGCCGGGCAACCCCTGAACCCTGCATCCTCAGCTCACCTCCCGGGCAGTGAGGTCAGACCATGGGGATGGGACTTTCCACTGCGGGGCCTTGCTGAGATCACCACCCAAATCCCCAGCCTGACCTGACCCCCAACCCAGAGTTACCCTTGAGCACCTCCCCAAAGAGCTCACCTTCCATTCAAGGAATCAAAACTCTGGCAAAGGGCATAAAGTTTCAATTATGCAAGATGATTAAGTTCTAGATTATGCAAGATGCAAAATGATTATATTCTAGAGATCTGCTGTGCAACACTGTGCCTATAATTAACAACAGGTATTGTTAACTATCAGTATATTGTCCACTTAAAATTTGGTTAAGAAGAGTAGATCTCATGTGTTCTTATCACAATTTTTTAAAAAAATCAACTCGGGCTCAGCCTCAACACCACCCCCTTCCTACTTTGTTAATCTCTGTAGCCTAAATGCCACAGGAATCAGCAGCCTGATGGTTGCAGTTGTCCAAACACACCCAACTGCAAGGTCCCACAGACATACGCCCGGGCACTCCTGCCCCTTAGGATCCTGGGGGAAGCAAACCACCAGCAGTCCCGCAGGAGAGAGCCCCACAGGAATTTTCTACTTACAGGACCACAGAGTCCCAAAGGGCCATAGGGAGCTGAACCAGAAGAGGACCCCACAGATGTAGGTTGTGGGGAGGTATCAGGCATTTATTTCTGGAGCAGAGGTGAGGTGGACTCAGCAGTGGACACAGTTGCGCATGAAGTTAACACAGAGGCTTGTGTAGTACGTAGGGTAGTCGCGGAGGTGGCTGACGTGTGCAGATGACACAAAGTCCACGGAGCGCACTAGGACCCGGTGTGCCAGGCGTGCCTCCACCATGCGTTCCACGTCTCTGGCCAAGACTACCTCGTCTGCCCTCGAGTAGAGGTAGAGCTCAGGCCAGCGAGAGCCTGCGTCCTGTAGCCTGTCATAGAAGTGGGTGTGGAAGAGGGCTGTGAGTGGAGCAAGCAGGACATGGAACAGGACTGCCACTAGGGCGAAGGCCACCAGGAGCAACAGGCGCAGTATGGCAGGCCGGTGCTCCAGGATGGTGGCCAGGGCCCGCAGAGCCCCTACCAGGTTGCTATCGCCAGGACCACTGTCAAAGATAGTGCCCACCACACGCAGGTGGCAGAAGCGCTGATGGGTTTGCAGGAGCTCCAGCACGTAGCGGTACAGCATGACGCCAGCGTTGCTGAAGACGTGGAAGAGCAGGGGCTCCTTCTCAATCTCATAATCAAAAAGTAGCTCAAGCAGCTTTTGGGCCAAAACACGAAGTGAAGGGATGCCCAGGGACTCAGAGAAGAAGACCATGTGCCACGGGGCTGTGTATCGGATCACGATGCAGCCCTGGGAGAGAGGAGAGAGGCCTGGTCAGTTCTCATGGATGGGGTGCGGTATGAGCCAAGGTCAGAGGGACCCAGCAATCCCAACCTTCACGAGGCCCATGGAGTCCAGCAATGCCCTAGGCCCTGCTTTGGCCTGGGCGCCGGCTCACTACTCACAAACAGGTTCCTTGGACTAACTGCTTCATGATGGCCAAGCCCTCTTATCCTGGGATGCTATTTGAGACCTGGAGCCCAGAGCACGTTTTGGAGACATCTGGGCTGACCACTTTGGTTCCCTCCCTGTCTGCCCCCAACTCCGCACCATCCTCCAGACCTTGCACATTTCAAGCCTCACCACTTGGCTGTAGCCTGCCCTGGCGACTCTGCTCTACACTGTCCCTGCCTCCCAGATACAAGTACCCCCATGAGACCAACACCTGAGAGAGAGCCTGCAGGACCCAGCCTTGACCACCAGAGGCCACTTCTGAGCCTGGCCCGCATCACATCCATCTCTAGTCACTGTCACCTCCCTCCCCAGGCCCCTCAGAACAGAGTCCATATTCTCCTGAATCAGAAGCCTGACACCCAAATCTGTGTGGGTCCCAGGTCTGGGATCACTCCTCACACTCGCCCTGAAATTCCAAATATAGTAAATGATGTTGTTCCTCAAATTCTAAAATCTGGGCCTAAACTTCCTCTAGGCTTCTGTACCCCTCACTGCCTGGGCCAAGTGTGCCCTCAAATCCCCAGACAGGACTCCATATAGGCCAGTTGGAAAAGCCACCCTGCCTGGGTCTTACTCCCCTCTCATCTACCTGTTGCAGAGACTAAGGACCCTTTGTCAGGGGAATCGAGTTGGGCAGGCTCTGGGTCAGACAGGTCTAGGTTCAATTCCTGGTACCATCCCCTATTAACAGTATGGCCAAAGAGCACCTTACTTCCTTGTGGGTGTGTGTCCCCATCTCTAAATTGGGATAACACCCATCTCATAAGGTTATGGTAAAAATTAAATGAAAAACAAAATGTATCTCAAGTGACCAAAACAATAAAGTAAATTCTCAACCAATAGCAGCAGTAATTAGTGGTGGTAGCAACGAGGAAACTTATATGGGCACAGTATTTGAATGGCCCATAGCCAAACAAGGATGGTCAGCTGAAGTAACCTGCCACTCGCCACTGACCTCTTTCCTCCCTCCCTATGCAACAACGACCCATATCCCAAAGACTGTTCCTGTGGATTCGGTCACGCCCTCCTGGGTTTTCTTGTCCACCTTTGGCCACTCCATCTTTTCTCATAGGACCCCCTTCATCTTTCACTCTTTTAAGTTTGAGTTCCTCAGGGCTCTGTCCTAGGCTCTCTTCTTCTCCTCTACACACACCCAGGGAGATCTCATCCACCCCAGAGCCTACGGATTCTCTTCTAGTGTTCCTGTCTAAAAAAACACCCCTCCTCTCTCCAAGGAGAACCCTGAGGACCTCCCCAAGCCTCACCTCTTGACACTTGCCCTTTCTTTCATTCTCTGTTCTAGAACCCTCAACTATTCCTCTGTCTGTCCTCAAGGATCTTAGTCTAGTGGAGAAGCCAGACAGACAAGCCTAGCCCAGTGAGTAGAATTCGGAAGTAGCTGAAACTATAATACTTGCAGAGCAAGGCAATCTGTAAAAGGCAACACTACAGGTTGTTTGTTGGGGGGAGGTTGTTTGTTGTGGGGAGGTTGTTGGTGGTTGGGGGGAGACTTTAAGTGCAGAACTACATTTTTTCCTAGTCACTCTCCCATTCCAGGTGTGATCCACCAAACACCTTGGTGCAGATGTGGGTCAGTGGAGGGAGGCTGAAGGAATAGGGGCATCAGCTGGCCCCTCTCCCAGGTGACTCTCACTGCTCAGTCCAGGGCTTCCCGCTGGTGGCTGGGGCTGTCAGTACTGGTACCCCTGCAGAAGGCTGCTTTAGGGAGATCTGGGCTGAGGAGGGCAGGGCCAAGCCACAGGCCAAAGATGTGAAAAGGGTTTCCAAAATACAACCAGGCCCTCCTAAGGCTCTCTCCATTACCACAACCTCTATGTCCAACTCTTGGTGCAGCCTAAGAAGCAGCAGAAATCTCTTTTCCAAGACACCTTACTACTCTGGGAATGTGAAAGGTGCCATGGTCAGTCCTGAGACAGAAAGTCACCTGCTCAGAAAAGCAGTCAGTCCTGGGAGTACAAACTATGCCCAGCCCACCCAGCCCAGGCGCCAGCCGCCCAGAGAAGCGTCATCCAGCCAGCAGGGACTTGAGGCCTGGGCTGATGGCACAACTAGAGGGCATGTCAAGGCTGGGCTGCCCACTCTGGAGTTCAGGGAGCAAGAAAGGGGAAGTAGGTCAGTAGACTGAAGGGGCCAGACCAGGACTTCATGGAGCCCATGAGCCCATCATCATCCTCACAGGTTGTTCTTAATGCCATCCCTTGGCCTGCCACATAGGTAGGTGATCAGCCTTCAGTGTAGCCCAGAGGTGAGGGCAGCAAGAGGTTCAGAGTTCCCCACACAGTGGCCGCAGATGGCAGGGCCCCAGTGGGGCCGGGTGCCCACATGCCTGTAGTACTCACCCTTTTATGGTAGATGGCGCTGTACTTGGCAAGGTTCTTGTCCTTGCAGCCACCCCATCCCAAGAGAATCACCACTGGCTGCCGAGTCCCCGCCTCCTTCCCACCTTGGCTGGGGCTGTTCTCTGAAACAAAGACACATCAGAGTTGGGGTTGGGGATGGGGGTGACTGGCCAATCCAGAGTCAGCACCCGCTCTGGCTACAGGCAGGGAAGCAACAGATGCCAGGCCCAGGCATCCTGCCAACCCCTATACCCCAGGCTCCCACGGGGCTCCTTCCCATCCTTCTGCCCCAGCTGGGTCACTGGACAAACCCACACGAACACACCTTTCTTTAGTGACTCAAAGACAGCCCAGGCAAGAAAACTAAATACCTTCTCCGTGCCATTATACCTACTAATGGCAAACTACAACCCCAGGGCCAAATCAGGTCCACTGTCTATTTTTGTATGGCCTGCAAGCTAAAATGGTTTTTACATTTTTAAATGGTTAAAAAAATCAAAAAAATAATAATATTTTGTGACACATGAAAATTACATGAAATTTAAAATTTCAGTGTCCACAAATAAAGTTTTACTGGAACACAGCCACACTCATCCATTTACTTAGTGTCAATGGCTACTTTCACACTGAAGCAGAGGTGAGTAGTTACAACAAGACCATGTGGCTCACAAAGCCTAAAATATTCACTGGCCCTTTACAGAAAAAGATTGCCAGCCCTGTCTAATTCCAGGAGTAGACAGAAGAGGATCTTAAATAGACAACTGGATAAGACAGTAACAAGAAGGGGCATAAGGCAGACTGACTCTGGCCCATAGCAAACCACTCACCCTGTCCTGCCCAGAGAATAGTAACGGCCTGTATTTATTGAGGTTTAACCCTCGGAACAATACTATAAGGCAGGTACTGTTACTACAGATGAGGAAACTGAGGCAGAGTGAGGTTAAGTTACTTGCCTAAAATCACAAAGTTAGGAAGCAGAGCTAGGAATCTGTCCCCTGCTCCCCACCCTCAGTACTCGAGCACCTTCTGTGCTGCAGCTCCACCCACAGCTGGAAGAATGTCTCCTTTGTGATGTCTCCTTTGGGAGGCACAAGCCAGCTGCCACCACCATGGCTGCTTCTTAAGAGGCCTCCCTGCAACCTTATCAAACAGACCTTATCTCGTTTCCCCTGCAAAGTGAACGCACACCCCCTCAGCGCGACTTCTGTACAAGGACTGTCTCTTGCTTGTTATCTGCCCTCCCAAAAGGGCCGGCATGTACCCTTCCAAGGACCAAGCCACTTGGCTATGCTCAGCTGCCACCCTGAAATTTATGGATGCCGGTGGTGACCTGGCAACAGTAAATTTCAAGGCTAGATAAAAGGATGGTAAATATAAATCACTAACCTTTGGACAAAAGGAAGACAACAATTTCCTGTGGAAATTAATGTGATTGAAAAGTTCAATGTTCCTGCTCTCTAGTAGTGGTGACTCTGGCCTTCGGAGATTAACTGCCCGCACCCACGGGGATCCCAGGCCGGCGTGCAACTCAGCCTGGAGCAGAAGCTGCCAGTGCCTCAGTCCCTTGCTGACACACCTGCCAGCCCTCCACTGATACTGGCCTTGGCCTCTGATGAGGGTGACGGTCCCACAGCTCTAACCAGCTGCTCCAAATACTCTCACCACTTTTCTCAGCCTACTGTCTCCATCTCGTCCCAGGGCAGCCCTTTACCTGCACTGGGCTTTCTGGTGGAGAGGCGACATCTGGGCCTCAGTGGGGCCTCAGCCCAACCTTGCTGGGGATAACTCTACGCACGAGGCTCAGGCTGAGGCGGCCTCACAGATAGAACCTGCCTTTACATCTCCGAGGTCAAGCACCTGGATTCCCGAGACCCGCAATTCTCTGAGCATAGGCCCCTCTGCCCCTGCCTATAGGCTTTCCCCCCATGTGCCACCACCAAGACTCCCGCAAAGGGCTTTGGTATTTATCTCAAATACAGAGAAGCCAACCCAGGAAGGTCCCATCCCCCGGTGGCCACTGGATGTCAAGGCCAGCGCCTATCAGCAGAGATGGTGCATTCCCAATCACAGAAAGTTCAAACAAATCCTACCAGGCCTCCGGACTGTGCCTCCCCCCGTGGCTGGGATTTATAATTCCTTTTGCTGGCACTCTTGCTTCTCCTACTCAGGCAAGAATGACTCTTCACCAGATATGCATCTCCCTCAGTTTCTATGAAGAAACCCTCAGAACACTGGCACCCTGGACACACTGCCTACTCCCAGAGCTCAAGCTTTCCACAGCATTCTTAAAGAGAGGGAACTGGTCCGCCTGCTCTCCAGCCAAATAGTCAAGGCTGCCCCCTAAGGCACAAGGTACTCTTCTTACCTATGGGCCTCCCCCACATCCTTACACATTCTCCTCCAGTGCCCTACTCTCCATGCCCATGACCTTCTCCCCGCTGAAGCCACACTGCCCCGCCTGATTTGACACATGAAGTGTTATAATTCTGGAAAATCCAAGGTGCTCTGGGAACATGCCGGGTAGACAGAGGGCAGGGGCAGGGGGCTGTGGAAATGTCACAGTCAGTCTGGAGCACAGTAACCAGTCCTGGGGGGCTAGAATCCCGGGTGAAGGAGGAGCAGTGGTCAGAAGATCTGCCAAGAGCAGGACTGAGACCTGATCCTGCAGGGCCTCCATGCCATGCTCAGGTTTTTACTTATTTATTTATTTTTTAGAAACAGGTCTCACTCTGTCACACAGGCTGGGGTGCAGTGGTGCGACCATAGCTCCCTGTGGCCTCGAACTCCTGGGCTCAAGCCATCCTCCCACCTCAGCCTCCCAGTAGCTGGGACTACAGGCACGTACCACCACACCTGGCTAATTTTTTTTTTTACTTTTTGTAAAGATGGAGACTCGCTATGTTGCCTCAGCTAGTCTCAAACTCTGGCATCAAGCAATCCTCCTGCCTCAGCCAACCAAAATGCAAGGGTTACAGGCTTGAGCCACTGTGCCCAGCCCAGGAGTCAGGATTTTATTCCATAGCAGTGAACAGCAAATGAAGAGGCTGAAATGGGAGAGTGGCATGATCCAGTCTGCATTGTTTAATGACTTACACAATCATGTGTTTAATGTCTGTTTCTTTTCCCTTAACCAGCAGGTTCCCTGAAGGCAGGAAACTGGTCTGTCATGTTTATCGCCACATCCCCAGTGGCCAGCACTGTAGCCGGCCCCTGCAGTAGTCAGTAGCTATGAGCTGAATAAATGAACACATGGTTGCGAAGTGAAGGATGGATCTAAGGAGAAAGAGCTGGCGTTCCTCTTGTTCCCCATTGCCCTTTCCAGAGCAATAAACGTAACTGCTCTGGCTATTGTTATTTATTGCCACATCTGGATCATGATTCCTGCACTCTCTTGTGCAAACCCTTGCTCCTTTCTTGCTCATTCCACCAGTCATATCACTCTCTCCTGTTGCTGACATACCCCAGCCTCTGGCAGCTGCCCTTGAGGCACTGAAAACTTTGGCCCCTCGTTCAGTCTCCCACTCTATTTGAAGACTTACCAGGACTCTGCACAGGCAATCAGATATGCTTTGTTCCTAAACCCTTACAAACCTCGCTCAGCAAACACATACAGCCTTATGTGTCAGGCACTGTTCTAAGCACTTTACATAGCAACTCATTTAATCTTCACAACACCCCTAGGAGTAAGATAACTGTTACTATTCTCATTTTACAGATGAATAACTGAGGCACAGAGGTAATAAATTACTTGCTCAAAGTTATACAAGTAATAAGCAGTAAAAATGAAATCTAAACCCAGGTGATCTGACTCTAAAGACCAGGTTGGATCCACTGCCCTAGCCAGCCCCCTGGGCAACAAAACCCAAGCCCCTGCTCTTGACCAAATCTGTATGGCCTCAGCTCCAAACCTGTACACACAGCTGCCTCCTACACATCGACAGACCCAACACTGACCCCATCCGCCTGCTCCTCCTCAGGAACTGGCCACCCCAGCCAGACCTCAGTATATGCTGCCTCATTCAGTCCTGCAACCATCCTGGGAGTTAGCTACTATTACTATCCCCATAGTTTTATTTTACAGACAAGAAAATGAAAACACAGAGAGGTTAAGTCCCTTTCCCTCAAGAACACTTGGAAGTAGCAGACCCAGCAGCCACTCTCTGACCACCATGCTATACTGCCTGCACCTTTGGGACCGTGCACATGCTCTTTATTCCCCAGCCCAGGATGCTGATGCACCATGTTTATGCTTTGCTAATGCCCTCTCCACCTACAGAGTCAGCTCACTGTTCACTCCCAGGAGGAAGGCCCTCACAAACCCCTTCTTACCACCCCCACCCCAAATCGTCAAACTGGATTAGGTGCCCCTTCTCTGTACTGTCACCCACCACCACCACGCCACTACACTTAACACAATGTATCAACAGCATTCATCAGGAACTTGTAGGAGACTACTGTAACATGCAAGGCAAGAGATAGCAAAGGCCTGAACCAGAGCTATAGACAGGAAGGTAGGAAGGGGCAGGAGAATGACAGGGAGAAGACAGTCACGAGAATTTTGGAACATATATCAAAAGTCTCAAAAAACATGCCTTTGACTTTTCTTTCTGAATTATATGGAAATATTCAATAATACATTAAGCAGATCATAGACATAAATGCAAGAGCTAAAACTATAAAACTCTTAGAAGAAAACATAGGAATAAATCTTTGTGACCTTGGATTAGGCAACAGTTGCTTGGATGAGATACCAAAAGAACAAGGAACAAACAAACAAAATAAATAAATTGAGACTTCATCAAAATTAAAAACTTTTATACTTCAAAGGACACAGTAAAAAAAAATAGAGAAAATATTTGCAAATCATAGATCTGATAAAGAGGGTATGTATCCATTATATATAAAAACTCTTATAATTCAACAATAAAACAAGAAATAACCTAATTTTTAAATTGACAAAGGATTTAAATAGACATTTGTCCAAAGAAGATATATAAATGGCCAATAAGCACATGAAAAGATGCCTGACATCGTAGTCATTAGGAAAATTAAAATCAAAACCACTATGAGGTATCACTCTATACACACTAGAATGGATATAATAAAAAAGATAATAAACAAA